GGGGGACACGACACGGGACGGACCCGTCCCGTTTGGGAGCATCCGCCGCCGAGGGCGCCGGGGAGGAGTGGGGCGGGAAATGGCTCTCGGCCACGGATGCCTCGGGAGAGCCGCCGGGGAAGGAAAAAGTGAACGTTACCGGTCCCGGGGTCTTAAATACTGTGTGCCGGCCGTGCCGGGCATGGGAGAGCTCCTGAGGCGCTTCGACGGTGGGGACGGGAGTTTGGGAAGTGGGGCTGTGCCATTTGTGTTGGGACCTGCCGAACTTTCTCCACTGGGTGAAAACAAGTTGTCCAGAGTTTCCAGGAGTGTGTCAGGAAGGGGAGGAGAGCCCCTGGGTGCCGGGATCTGAGGAAAGTGCCTGCCCAAGAAGCGCATCTGTTGGCCAGGTGCTCCTGCAGTCTTTGATTCAAAGCTGAATTGGAGCAGCTTTGAGCAAACCGCCGTTTTCTTCAGTCTAACAAAGTTAGATTCAGTCAGGTCTAGCCCTCTGAAACATTTTCTTTTTTTTTTTTTTTTCCTTTTTTCACATTTGATCAGGAGTATGATGGCGAGCGCAATTCAGAAGGTGAGCGACATGGCCGTGGAAAAGCACGTCTACCCAATGGTGATACGTACGATGGAGAATATGAACATGGTTTCAGAAGTGGACAGGTGAGACACTGACGGACAACAGTGGTTGTGTGTATGTTTCAGCAGTTCTGTTAGTTTGGGCACTATATTGAAATAAGAGTGAGGACTGACAAGTATTTTATCTATACCAAATATGTTTCAGGGGACCTACAGATTTCGAAATGGTGCTTGCTACACTGGAAAATACCTTCAAAACAAAAAGCATGGCCAGGGCATTTTTTTTTATCCAGATGGATCAAAATATGAAGGTAAAACCTAGTTGCAAAGATTTCTGTAACTGAAAGGACACATTCCCCCACCTCCCTCTCTGTGTCTGGAATGCAAGGAGATAGTGAACTGGAGAGCATATTATTTTAAGGGGATACATTTTCTAGGAAATGTTTTCCTTTTATTCCTTTTTGACTACAAGCTCTAAGAAGTGTGGCTTTATGTCAATTACCATGAGAAGTGTGATGTTTAGTAGCAGTTTATTCTTGTCACATCCTCCTTTCAAGTGAGATGTTCCAAGTCCTGACAAACATTAAACATCTTTCACAAATCAGTGCAATCTTGGTAGAAGAGAGTATAATCTCATATTTCTGAATGATGATTAGAACCACAGACTGTGTTCAGTATAAAGTATTTTAGAACTTTATTAGGTCCATCCTTGAAAAATATTCTACCGATTAGAGCACTTACTCAGGGACTGGGATGCCTCTGAAGTTTGAAGAAGTTGAAACTCACATTGTTTCCCTTTTTTCAGGGAAAAATCTTCAGAGTATCAGTTAGGCTTCAAGGGACAATATTTCCTCCCCTTCTTTCCAAGCTAGGCAAGAAAGAACATTCACATTATGAGGGCTAGAAGCAGAGAGCAAAAAGAGCAGCCCAATTACTGCCTTAAAGGAGCATACTTACCTGTGATTTTTTTTTTTTTTTTAAAGTTTGAATAGAAGAGTAATTAAGACACACAATCTAGCATCCTTTCGAGTATATATGCCCCCAGACTGACAGGGCAATTTTAGCAAATGATTCAAACTAAAGTACTCCCCCTTTTTATTTCAGTGGAGATGTCACATTACCTAATGAAACTGTAATACATTACCAAATGTAAATATAGGAGCAGGATGCTACATGGCTTCTTGTGTTCATCTTAAGATAATGGAGATAGACCATGATGGACAAAATGTGTTTGGAGTGAAAGGGAGATCAGGCAGCTGTACAAATACTTGTGGAGATGGACGGACGGAAGAAAAAAGAGAAGGGTTTAGCGTAAGGAATAGTGTAAGGAATCACAGTGATGTCATAACTTCCTTTTCCTTCTTTAATAATTAATGTATGATAACTTTACAGACTGACCACTGTATCATACAATTGAAATATACCACATCTCACTCTGTTTTTATTGTATTCTCATTAAAGGAGACTGGGTGAATGACCAGAGACATGGCTATGGAGTGTATACGTATGCAAATGGAGACACCTATACTGGAGAATGGTTTAACCACAATAGGTTTGTTTCATTCTTGCAGTGATGTTTCAAGTCACCCAAGGACTTTAAAATGCAAAGATTATTTTCAAAGTATGGCTGACCACAGCAAATCAAGTGCTACTGGATGACCTTGGCAATTTAGGCCAGCTCGAGTCATTTCAGCTACTTAAATAATACAGTTGTAATACCTTAAGTATGACAATAGTCTACATTCTTAATATTCAGTAATATAAAGCATAATTATTATTTTCTCCTTAGGCACGGACAAGGTACATATGTCTATAAAGACACAGGAGCTATATATATTGGTGGCTGGGTAAATGGAAACCAGGAAGGAGAAGCTGAACTTATCTACCTAAACCATAGATTCAAGGGCAAATTTCTGAATGGAAATGTAAGTGTGCTGGAAAACTCTATACATCTGAACAGTTAGCATGGAATTGCCTTAACATGATCTGTTTCCACTTAAAATAAGAAGCTATGCTCCCGATGTTTTGTAGTGTTTCTGGTACCATAAGTGTACCAGAAGAAACCAAATTGATCTGCAGGAGAGAATGCCAAGTTTCTCTGCAACTTTGCTTTCAAACTATATTGTTACTGACTATTGTATGAATTTTGTACTAAAGCGTATTTTACATTTATATGCTTAGAATGTACTAACTTTATAGTTTTGCTGACTTCTTCGTATCCTTGTGCAGCCTGTAGGTCGTGGCAAATACGTCTTTGATACTGGATGTGAACAGCATGGTGAATACATACAATCAGAGCAGGTAAAAGAAATAACACAAATTATACTGAATATCAGAGAACTCAGTGAATCAAATCTATTGTTGAGTAATCTATAAAATGCCTTATAGGTACTGATGTTAAAGTAGATCTAACCAGTTAAAAAAGGGTAGAAACTCATGCATTTTTAAGAACTATATGAGGTTTCATTTTGCTTTTTTTATTTAGCTTCTCTACTGTGTAAGCTTTGACAAGTACAAGGTCTGATTTTTGCACTACTTGCAGACAGGAATCCTTTCTGCTTAAAGTTCAGAAGAATTAGGACCATCTCAAAATATTTGAAGTTTCAAACCACAGAAGATTTAGATGTATTTGTGGGTATATTTAGCCTGTATGCCACTTTGTTCTGAATACCAGAAAACAATGAAAAATATTTCTTCTTATATTTCTGAATTGCTTGATACTATGCATACAAATGGTAATTTCCAGCAGATTTGTGTTTTGGAAATACATCCTGTTGTTGTCCTGGTCCTGTTAGGGGCTTAATATCCACAGCTTCTAATAATTGTAGAAAGCAGCTGGGATCAGGGCCTGTTTTTCCTTCTCCTTCATGCATGAATGTTTTGAAACATTTCTGATTAATATAGTGCAATATAGCTATATAAAAAAGAAATATATCTTAATATTACTGTTTTGATTTCAAGAACATATGCCACATTTTGGCTTATAGTTTGCTACCCTGACCTCAGTTGTCTGACACGTTGCAGACGTGGTGCTCAGGGACATGGTTTAGTAGTGTTTTTGGCACTGTAAGGTTGATGGTTGGACTCGAATGATCTTAAAGGTCCCTTCCAACCTAGATGATTCTATGATTCTATGAATAGTTCCCCTTACACACTGTTTGAAAATTCTCCAATGCAGCAATTGTTTCTTAAGACAAGGACAAAATAATAATAATTAAAAAATCTTATCATTAGTGATAGAGATTTGCAAAACATGGAGAATGTTTTACTTTTTTTTTTGGCTAAAAGCAAGAGATCCTCAAATTAAGTATCAGATTCATATGAGTATCCAAAGTGATCTAGTATGCTCAGTTCAGTTGGGAATTGTTGGATGTGCTGATTTTGGAATATTCGGCCATTGATGTGGGAGTTTAAATACAAATTTAAGAGCCCAAGGTTGAACACTTAGCTTCTGAAAATCATTACTCTCAGGAACAATAATTTCTTCTCATGTCAATGCTGTAGTGACTGTGTAAAGCAAGGGACAGTGCTGTCACTACAGTAAGATTAAATTTTGCCTCTTTGCTTTAGTTGAAATAATTGCATAACAAGGCCCATTTAAAAAAAAAAAAAAAGCTTGCAATACAGATAATGATTCCATTACTAAGACTCCCTCATATTTGGGTAAAACAAAGCATGATTTTTTAAATAAATTAAAAAAAATCTTCAAATTTCAAAAACATAAGCTTTGTGCAGTACCGTACTGCTTCCTAGATCCATTCCAAGGTCTTCCCTAAGTAAAGATTGAGGCAGAAAGAGCTGTTCTTCAACACTATTCCTGTGTGAAAGAGACAGCGTAGCATCTACCAGACAGAACATTAGGTCTTATTTGCTGCTGTTGTACTGTAGACAGGCATAGAAGAGGAGACATAGTTGACAGGCCCCACAGCCATTCTGTTCCAGGGAGAGACAAAATTTTACCTTAAAGAGAGCAAGCTAGCAAGCATTGATCATCAGTAATCGTCAACTGACTTTATCATGGTTCAAAGTGTAGTTCTCTTCCAAGATTTGTGGCTGCTGAAGTTCCTTCACCTGTAAATACTTTAAAAGGCTGTGTCGTTGCCGTTTTGAGCCCAGATAAAGAGGTTTTAGTACACAAAACCATCATGTTAGTTACTCCCTTGATACCTGTAAGATGACATGCTGGATTTCATGCGTTGCCTTCTAGGATAAAGGAGAGGTAGAAGAAGAGGAGGAACCCTCATTACTTGTTGCACCAAAATGGAAAGCATCAGAAATTACCAGTTTAACGCTCTGGACTCCCCATGAGGAAAACCCACCTTCTCCCAGAGAAGTCTCCGTAGTGGTGGCAGCAGCAGCAGAAGCAGTGGAAGAAAGAGAAGCAGCAGTAACTGAAAAGGAGAAAGTGCCATCAATTACAGGTTTGTTCTTCTGGACAGCTGGAAACTCCATGCTTTGACTATCTCCTGAATCTGTGTTTTTCATATTTAATATAAAGTGGTGTGAGAGGCTTTTTTTTTTTTTTCTTTTTCCTATAATTTACCACATGTGGAATGTTGGGAACTTCCAAGCCTGTTCATAAACTGCACTATGTGTATATATATACACACACATACATATATTTCTGTTTTTTCTCGCATAGCATAATGAGATACTACTGTCTTGGGAAGCTTGTGAATCACTTTAGTCTATATCATGGACTGTTACACAAACTTGATTATAAACAGGTACAGAAAATTTTGTGGGATTTCTTATGTGAGTAAAGACTGCAGATTTCAGTAAGAGTTTTTAGCTACTGCATGAAAACAATGGCTGAGTGCAAATTTGTCAAAAATAATTTTCTTTGGTATTTCTAATTTCTCATGTTTCAGTCACTGATGAGTCTGCTGAGGGTAGGGATGATGAGCCTTCTCTTCAAGAAGTATCCAGCGAAGCTTTTAGCCTAGCAAGAGGTTCAGGAGAGGAAGATGAGGGAAGCAAAGAGGAAGAAGAAAATCAAGATGAGGAGGATCAAGGTGAGGAATGGAACATGCACGCTCATTCTTCAGTTAGCAATCAGGGTTTGGAATTACATATGTTGGTCAGCTAAAGGCATCCTGCTGCTGAGAGGTCCATTATCAAGCTGAAGAGACCATGGGAATCTCTGCCTTTCATAAGCAGGGCAGTCCTCTATAGACGTAAACTGGTTTTGAGTAGTCAGGTTTATATACTGTAACAGTACAAATTAGAAGTGACACTTCTGTGTAGCATTATTTATGCATGCATGTACAGTTGACAGCACTTGCAAAGCTGAGTTTATAAGTGGTTGCATTTGCAAAATTTTTGTTTGTTTGTTTGTTGGTACAAAATAGAGAGAGAAGATTTCAGACCCTGGGAAATTCAGGGGCTTTTGAGCACTCTACTTTTCTCTCATGGATGGAACTGTGTATTCTTATTATCTCAACTGAAGTTAAAAAGCAAGCAAAACAAATCTGAAGAAATGAATTTTAGTTGTTGTTATGCATTATGGTTTGAACAGTCTCTGGTTGATTTGTTTCTTTTACAAACCAAAAAGATTCGGAATTCAGATGCTCAGGTTTTCTTCCAGGCAGTTCAGAAGCCTGTTTTAAATACAAAATTACTAAGAAGCGACAAAAGGGTGCATCTATGTTTACTCATATTTAGCCTATAGGCCTCTACCCAATTGTATTATTTGTATTTATTAAGTGTTGACATTTACAAGCTTGCATATCTGATGTATGAAAACATAAGATAAATTTATCCATTTGTAATTGATACATTTTACAATAAATCAAAGCAAAGCACTATTCACAAGGATCAGAAAAACTATTAAATCATGTGAAAATGCCTGGAGATACACACTGAACATTTAGGTCAGCTCTTGAAATATTCATAGTTTTATTTGCTCTCATTTTTTACCCATCACCTCTGAAGGTGCACTTCTGCTTTAGGGCAGACTAGACAGCTCGCTTATCTGGTGTGTAGGACTGACATCTTACGGGATCCCTGGCCTTGGATCAGATCCACCAGGAATCTTAAGCAGGTTTCCTGCATAGCTCTACTTTGGATTTGGCAGAAGTTCATTAAGCCTGGTTTGTCTCAAAGTCTTTTGGGTTCAAATAACAATTTTTGTCTGATCTTGGTTCTAACAAATTTTCTACCCTACCACAATGAAGCAGTTCTGGTATTCCCATTGTTTATGGACCCAAGTGTCTGTCAGAGACAGCATAGGTGCAGATTCCCAATGCATGAAAACATAGGAATGTGAAAGTTCCTTCCAGCTCTTTATTTCTAGAATTAAAGAGTTGGATTTTATGCTTGTTTCAGCATAGGTCTACATCCATAATTAATTAGGCAACATATTGTTCCCCTTGTCTTTATGTTTAGCAAGATTAAGTTATAGTAAGAGGAAATGATTTGAAGAAAATTTATGCATACTGTGAAGAGCAGATGTAACAAAATCTGGTTTCTTGCAGCCTTGTAGTCTCTGTCCCATTACCATATTTTTTTTCCACACAGGAATTCCATCCTTTTTGCTCCATGTTTCTTATGATACTTGTCTAAACAGGAAACATTCTTTGGCTATTCCAGAGTTACATATGGGCTGGCTGGCACTCAACATGTGTGTACTGAGTCTGTCTGGCAGCTGACAAACAATGTATAACAGTTCAATTCAAGTATTGGCAATGAAAGGCAATGGGAATGATGACTGAGGTAGACAGCATAGTCCTAGAATTATGTTTTAGGTTTCTGGTATTACTTTCCAGTATTTTATAATAAAATGCATCTCTATGTCCTGTCTTTCCTTCACCTCCACAGGAACTACTAGTTTAAAGGATAAGGAAGATGAATCAAAGGAAGTAGAGTAATTGGATACAACTAAAGACAAAGAGCCAAAAAAAAAGGAAATTTCAGAGTGAACCATTTATTATGGTAGCCCTGCATTATTTTTTATTCATAACAGGCTGAGTTAAGATACTTTGAATAAACATTTCTGTCACTGTTCTGTCTGGAATATGTATCTGAAACTTTTATGATCTCAGAGTGTGCAGTCTCACGACAACTTTATTCCATGTAGCAGGTAATCGGTTGTTGAAATCAGTACGGGATTGTTTTGAATTCATGACGCTGCATCCTCACAAGTTTGCAGAAGCAAAGTCAATCTTCTCCCACTACTGGTAGTTCTTCTCTTCCTTGAACCCTGCCTCTGGTAGCAGAGACCTGGTGGTCTTGCTTGTGAAGACAAAGGCAGCATTGAGCTTCCCAGCTCTATCTGTACCCTGTGTCACTAGACCACTGATTACAGGCCAACATTTTCCTTGTTTATTTTTTTATTGTTCATATAGCTGTAGAATCATCATAGAATCATAGAATGGTTTAGGTTTGAAAGGACCTTGAAGATCATCGCTTTCCAACCCCCCTGACATAGACAGGGACACCTCCCACTAGACCAGGTTGCCCAAGGCCATGTCCAGCCTGGCCTTGAACACCTCCAGGGATAGAGCCTCAACAACCTCTCTGGGCAACCCGTTCCAGTGCCTTACAACTCTCAAAGTAAAAAATTTCTTCCTAATGTTTAATCTAAACCTGTCCTCTTCCAGTTTATAGCCATTCCCCCTCATCCTATCACTACATGCCCTAGTAAAAAGTCCTTCCCCAGCTCTCCTGTAGGCCCCGTTTAGGTCTAAATCTCCCCTTGCCAGTTTGAATTCAAACTGAATTTGGCTTTCCTAACACACTGGTTCAATGTTTCTAAATTCTTCCTTTGTGGTCTGTTTTTGCTTCCATTTTCATAGAATCATAGAATCATTTAGGTTGGAAAGGACCTTTAAGATCATCAAGTCCAACCGTTAACCTAACACTGCCAAGTCCACCACTATACCATGTCCCTAAGTGCCACATCTTTTAAATACCTCCAGGGATGGTGACTCAGTCCTTTCCCTGGGCAGCCTGTTCCAATGCTTGATATTTCAGTGAAGAAATTTTTCCCAATATCCAATCTAACCCCCCCCGGCATAACTTGCGGCCATTTCCTCTTGTCCTGTCTCTTCTTACTTGAGAGAGAAGAGACCTACCCCCTCCTCGCTACAACCTCCTTTCAGGTAGTTGTAGAGAGCAATAAGGTCTCCCATGAGCCTCCTTTTCTCCAGGCTAAACAACCTCAGTTCCCTCAGCTGCTCCTCATAAGACTTGTGCTCCAGACCCCTCACCAGCTTCGTTGGTCTTCTCTGAACACACTCCAGCACCTCAGTGTTTTTCTTTTACTGAGGGGCCCAAAAGTGAACACAGTACTCAAGGTGGGGCCTCATGAGTGTTGAGTGCAGGGGGACAATCGCTTCCCTAGTCCTGCTGGCCACAGTATTGCTGATACAAAATTCAGTATATTCTGTATATTACTACTTACTCAGTGTATTCTGTATATTACTACTTTTTTTGCGTGCCTGTTGTAGCTCAGTTCCAAGTTTCTTGTTTACCTTGTAGGCTTCCTTAAGATGTTTAAAGGAGACTGTCAACGATCAGGGTGAGGAAGTGGATCTGTAACAAATTCCCAACACTGTGCCACGCTTAATACCCTCACTGATCCACAGGCTCTCAACCAGTATGTTGTCCATAGTGTACAAGAGCTCCATGCATTCAAGCTGCTGCTTCACATGGGGGAAAACTCTCCCTCTCATTTTCCCTTTCTGTCTTCAGTAATGAGCCCTTCATTGATTGGAGAGCTCCAGTTGTGTGAACTGTCCCACCATGTTTCAGTTTTTCTAAGAACATAACAGTTCTGTGGGGTTCCATGTCCTTTGCCACCCAGAATCCTGCAGTTACTCTTGTTTTGCTCCAGGTGTCGCTCAGCAGTATCACCAATGGTCACACTGATGAGCAATGAGTAGTAATGGTCAGGGGACTGGATGAGCCTTGGCTATCTCTCTACAACACCCAACATCTGAGCATCTACCAAACACCAAACCTCCCATGACAGCATGTCTGGTCAGCAGACAGGTTCCTTTATTCCCCGCAGAGGGGGATCTCCAACTGCTACCACTTGCTGCTGATGCTCAAACTGGGCATAGCTGGCTCTGAAGCCTCCCATAGCAGTGTCTGTTCCCCTCCCACAGCTATTAGGGCTCAATACCAACTCTCTTTGCTCAGGTCTGAGCAGGGAGGAGGAACATTTTTCCTGCTGCTAGAAGCCATGAAGTTCAGCAACCTCCCTCAGGGGAGTCCCCATCCACTGCTCCATCCAGCAAAGCCCCTAGACATCCCTCCACCTCAGGCTCAGGCTCTCACCTCTGTGGAGACCCTGCTGATAGCCCTTTTACCCTGCTTAATAGCAAACAGTCTCCACACCTCCTTCTGCAGGACCTTGGAAACACAGCACCTGGACCACTACACACCTCCTGCAGGGAAGGACCCCACCACTCACAGCCCCAGTGAGACACCTGGACACAACATCCCACTGCCCGAGCCCTGTCTAGGCTGTCAGCACTGATGAGCCAAGGGTACTTTCTTCACCGATGCTGAAGATCAGACCTAGTAGCTCATCAACACTGGTGTTGCACAGTCCCACGGTGTTTGCAGGAGAGTTTCTGCCTTTTCGCAGCACTCACACAAACTACCAAAAGCTCTACTCGCTGTATGCCCCTCTCCCAACTGAACAAGCACCCCGACACAGCAAACAAAACCCAGTGCAGCACCCCCTAATCAGGAGGCAGCCAACTACTGAACATGCAGCTCCTTTTAAATCAAGAACCTGTCAATCAGGAAGCAGCCACCAGGAGAGAGCAGCTGCAGAAGGCCCCTAGAAACCACCAGAATCAAATGGCACTATATAAATAGTAAGTTAAAAGGACAGAGGAAGGCAGAGCTGCACAAAGTATTATACAAGCGCTAAATGCCACGGACAGATCTTTTCTTCTATTCTGTGGGTGAATGAAGCTGCTCTGAATAATTTTTTTCCTGAAAATATGTAAGCAATACCTTAATTATTAATTTATGTATCTGTCTGACTTTAATTGACTCTCTCGCACTGTGAGAATATTGGTATGAATGTTGATGTGCCTGGAACCCAAGGTAGAGAGTTGCCAGCCAGTAGGAGTTTGCTTTTGGAGTAAAATAACCGGTTTTGGCTCAGATGGGATAAGAGATGTTGGACTGATATTGCTGAAACAAGACCTGCATTTTTTTTTATTCTTCACCTCAGAGCAGGAAATCGATACTAAAATTTTGGTTTAGGGGAAAAAGAGAAAACATTTTAATAAGTTCCTTTTCTTGACAACTCACAATTTCAGCAAAGGTATGCCCAGAAGTTTGCAAAGTAGTGATAAAAATGGATTAACAGAAAGTAGAGATAAGAAAATGAGTCATATAAATAGAGTTTATTACTTCTTCCTGCAATTTTTCTGCTATCAGAAATGTCATAGCCAATTCCCATACAATTTTTCCCTTCCTATCTTACATGTCATTTTGTTTGCAATTTCTTGTTGCAGCAATTGTGACTTCAGTGAGCGTTTTTAGATGTGGTTTTATTTTCCTCTTTTTGCTTTCTTTGGCAAGGAGAAGTGCTGCATTTCCATTATTACTGTAGCTAGATCAAAGCATACTTGGCTTGCTAATGTTGGGCTTTTCTGTCTTTTTATAAAAAACTAAAAATCATTAGTTTAATCACTAGTTTTAATATATTCTACTGTAAATTTGAGAAATATCCACACAGCATATTTCCCAACTCACTTCCATTTTCAGGTAATCTTCAGTTCAAACTGAGTTAATTTTTGGGTGATTTATGAAATTACCTTCTCCTCTGCAGCAGCCAGTACTGTACTGTTTATTAGTACATGAGTGACCTCCAGTGGCATACCTGCAAAAAGTGCATCCTGTCTGGAATACAATCAAGAACAGCTAAGAACATCTGGAAGTCTCTAATGTGCTAAAAAGTGCTCCCACAAAGATGGCTTGCTCCCTTTGGAAACCACTGGTGCTTTTGTTGGAAGAGACATTTCATTTCACTCTATTTTCCAGAAATACCTTAAGGATAATTTGGAAACCAGTTAGTAGTAGTTTGTTCATCCCTATCTTGGAGAGGGAGGAACTACTGCCAAAACTTGCTGCACGAAGGTATGCGAAGCCTCTCTCCTTTTCAGTAATGAAGAAAGACCATTTTAGATAGTATTACAGCAGTCATTTTTCAGACCTTTTCCTAAATAAAGTAAAAATACAGATGGGCTGAATGCAAGGATATGATGTTGAACTTAAGACTTTGAAGCTTTCCCTCCAGCTTTTCATCCTTAGGTTATCACTGTGGTGCCCAAAGTGGACTCCAAAATTTGTACAAGTATTATTTAAAAATATTATGCCATTTTAACTTATGCATCTAATATTGGTTTATGTCCCTGGCTTCTTGCCTTTAAATCATAGAATCACAGAATGGTTTGAGTTGGAAAGGACTTTTAAAGATCCTCTAGCTCACTTCCCCTGACATGGGCAGGGACATCTTTCAGTAGATCAGGTTGCTCACAGCCCCATCCAACCTGACCTCAGTATATTAATGACATATAAGACATTATGAGTTCAAGGTTAAGAGCCAGGTAATTCTCTCCCACATATAAAGCTGCATATGAAAAATGGTGCTGAAAGTATCTATGCTCCACACGTCTCAGAAGAACATCAGGAGAGCCTGTCACATTTGACTTGCAGAGCTACTTCTTCCCCAAAGACAGAACTTTTCCCACAGTTGACAAGGAAGCTGGTCACAAGAGTTCATTGCAGCTAAAGGAGGCATCTGAAGTTCTGAAGTTCTCACACCAAGAAGATCTTGGAGTGTACCTATTCCTACCTGAAAATGCAAATGTTTTAAACACCTTTGGAGAAATGTCCTTTT